AATGCCTCTAATGGAATCATACCCAAACTAGCAAGAAGGAAAGTAGAGTAGAGAGGGGAGAGGGAGTATGCAAAATTTCGGCCCTTAGGGTTTCTTCAAACGAAAAGAGTGGCCAAAACATGAACCAGGAGGCTCCTTATATAGCTGAGGGATCTAGGGTTTAGGGGAAACCCTAGTTATCCTTTGCTTAGGGCCTAAGCAAACCCAAGGGCCTTATCCAAGCCCCTATGGATGAAATTATTAGGGTTTTCCCTAAATATTTCGTCCACCCTTATCCAAGGGAGTTCTAGAGCCTTCCACTCAACTATTAGATAATTGCAAACTAGTCCCTGCACCTTATAATTAATTCTTTTAACCCCGAAATTAATTCTAATTAATTTCTGGCTAACAACTAATTAAATAAAATGATTTCTTATTAATATATTAATCTTTTAACATATTAATAAATTCATTTATATTAATTTATTAATCTTATAATAAATTAATATCTCTCCTTTCATAATTTCCTTGTCCGGTTGCTAGGTTTGAGGGCAACCCAAAAGGACTGTGCTGCTGTCAATTCAAGTACATACCAATTATAGTTATGGGCTTAGACATCTAATCCAACATTATGATCCATATTGGACTAAGTTTATGTATGGATACATAAATATTTGGGCCACATGAATCATAGATCATAAAACCCATGGGTATGGATTTGGGTTATACCCATGACTCTTGGAATCCTACATATAATAGAAGCTCCATAACCTAAAAACGCATACTTCTAGTTCTTGGAGTTCATGGAGGTGTTTTGGTGCATGGAAATTCTCTCTCAAGAGTCACCTTTTTCCTAGGTAAGTTGTGATTCCAATTGAGGTGCAACACTTGGGGCACTAAGTTCTTAAAGTCCAAAGTCTTCCTAGCAACATTAACAACATCAAGCGGTATGTCTAAAATTTGTATTATTATACATATGTTATTTGTATACTAGTTGTAGGCTTACAGTTTTGGAAACCATATGCATGTATAATTAGAGAAAACATAGATCCAAAGCTTTTAGGGTTGTATGTGCACCATAGGATGTTGTAGTATACAAAACCCAACAGTGCTTTGATACCACTCTAGGAGCTTTGAGTTGCCACTCTTGGTGTTTCTAAGGTTCTAGTTGCATAAACTTGTCACCTTTAAGGTTTTGATTCATTCATACAAGAGTTTATGTCCATTTGTTGAAAGTAGGGTGTTATATTTTGAAGTTGGGTCTTTATGGGGCATGTAAAGTCACCAAGTCAATGACTTTATGGATATAGACGCTTATTAGGACTTGAATCTATGGTTGGGGCTTCTGGTCTTAATAAATAAGAGCTTAAGTTTGAGTTTGGGTTAAGAGTTTAATACATTGGGCGTACAAGTTCGTACGCGCGACATACAACCCAAGTTGCGTGTACACTTAGCGTACACCTGAGTATGCCCCGTGTATTTAGTCTGTTGGGCTTTGTAGCTTTTAAGCCTCGATTGCATCATTTCTTTGGACCTTGTTGCTTTAGGACTTAGTGGGCAAACTGGAGTCAAGCTTTTGGGCTAAGAGTTTGGAATAGGAAATTTTTTGCGCTTTAGGGTAAGGCCCATGAAGGGTTTTAGGCCAATTTGGAAAATTAGGCCATAAATGGGACTTGCTTGGTTATTTGGTTTTGGGCCTTTTAGATATCGAGTTTGGGCCTTAGACTTGGGAAAAACTAGGTTGAGGGTAAAATGGTCTTTTTACCCCAAGTATGGATTATTGGACTTATGGTAATGGATTGGAACCCAAATATTTACTAGGTGCTATTTTGTCTAGATAGCTCGGGGATTCGATAGGGCAGAAGCTAGTGTTTTGTGTTCAGATTCGACAGTTGAGGTGAGTTTCCTCACTGGGTTTAGCGGGTCTATGGCACTAATGTCAGCCCTTGTTGTTTATGGTAGGATGCTAGGTGTCTGTGTGACCCTTGCATGTGTTATGTGCTGCTATGTATACTGGGTGGGGCTCGATGTCGGGCTAGGCTCGATGACTAAAACATAAGTTATGATATATGATCATTATATCTGTTAGCATTATTATGTGATATATATTGTACGTGTATAGTGGGTGAGGTCCGATGATAGGCGAGGCCTAAGAATAACATATATGTATACCGAGCGGGGCTCGACGCCGGGCAAGTCCCGATGTAGGGCGGGGGCCCAATATGTGATTTAGTATGTATGGTATGGGGTAGTTTGGGGAATTCACTAAGCTTTGTGATTATAGTATTCAGTTTATGTTTCAGGTATGTCTGGTTCCAATGGGAAGAGCTCAGGATGACTGCATTGCACACACCATATGGATTCCACTTTTGAGATAGTACTCTGATTGTTATGATGTTGATATACTTATTTTCATTTGGGTTGTATGGATAATGTTTTTTGAATATCTTTTTATTTACATTAAAAATAAAAATTTTGTATCATATTTTTGGGACGTTATAATTATATGAAAAATGAGTTGATAGTTGAGAAACTAGATGATAAAAATGACATGTGATAAAACTAGTTGATAAGTTAGCTAAAATATATAAAATGACATAATAACATTTAAAAGAATATTTTTTTTATAATTACTCAAGGGTATATTTAGTAAATTAATAAAAAAAACTCATGAATAGTTAGTCTAAGGTTATTTTTGGCGTACTAGTTGAAAAACTAGACTAGCTTATTGTTGGATTAGGGTGTCTAAGGTCTTAAAAAATTGATATAATTGGTTGAACAATAGTAAAATCTTTTTTGGGTTGATCTCGTAATCGGGAAATGGCAGAGAGAGAAAAATAAAATTTTAATATATTATTGTATAAATATATTAATTAGAAATAGAAGTAATTCATTAAGAATTAATCTAAGTTAATTTAATTAATTTTATGGATTAAATAAAATTACTCAATGGGTCTAAGGGTTAGGGTGTAATTGTTCAAAAGTTGACCAATGGAATATTTTAGAACCTTCTTAGGAGGGGACGGTTTTGAAGCCCTCTTGGAATGGTTTGGAAGCTCCCGTGGTTGATAAGGAATCTGATAAGGATTATGAATATTTTATTAATATCTTGAATTCAAATCAGAGCTTCCTACAACTATAAATATGGACCTCTATAAGACCCAAGAACCTTATACAAACATAAGAAATTTCAAAAAATCCCTCTCTCCCCTCTCTTATTTCGATCCTAGGGTTTTCCTAGGGTTTAAGTGTGATTCATTAGAGGCTTCCACATTATTAGGGCTAGCATTCGAGGAAGGTTCCTTCAAAGTACATTTCTATTTACAATAATAGCAATAAAATATGTGGTTTTAACCTTAGTGATTTTCGATTTTAGCTAGGTTATTTAGAAGTTTCAAAGTATGTTGCTATTATGAGAAAAACCATAGAGTTTTCTAGTATTGCATGTTTCCATAAGTTAGTTATATGAAATTCCACAAGTACATTGAAGTAATCTATAAAACCCATCACTTATAAGTTAACTAATAAAAATAATGTTTGGTAAAAACTACCTAATAAACTAGCTGGAAGATAAAAAATGACATAAAAGACATTTAGAAGAATATGTTTTTTTTTTTTTAATTAAATACGGGTATATTTGGAAATTTTAAAAAACTCCTAAAAAGCTAGTTATAGTTTTTGAAAAAGTTAGCTTATAAGCTACTTTGGACTTGTTATGACAACTTTAAATTTTTTTAAAAAAATAAGGTAGTTGTGACATGTTAATTGAGAAGCTTAGATGTTGCATTCAGCATTAAAATTTTTATTGTTTTTAACTTAAGTATAGTTTAGAAAAACTAATTTATCATAATAATATTTCAGTTTTAGTTTATATCCATATGTCGATTTTATGTAATTTTACATATTTCAAACTCTTCTAGCTATTTGCGTCAAACACTCATATAAATAAAAAGGAAAATCTTCAGAAAAGTCATAATATTTTAGCTTAATTTATGAAAAAGTCTCAAACTAAAATTTGTTTACGAAAAAGCATTAATTACCGGTAAAAATGATGATTTGAAACATTTTTCCCGATTTTCCGGTTTCATTACTTGTCTGATTCCATTAAAATTTAATTATTTTACCATAATTTACGAATAAGTCTCGAACTAAAATTAAGTGATCATTTGGGCATCTTCTCAGTGTAACATAACATTTTACCAGTTTCATTCCTAACCTGGACGCCTAGTCATTAAATGAGCTGATAAGATTGATATGACGGGTTATATAATGCTACGTTTACCTTAAAATTTGATACCTATCTCATCAGATCATTTAGATTATGTATCCATATCAGTAATGAAACCCGTAAAATGTATATTTCTAGGAAAATGGAATGAAATGAGCTGATAAGATGGATATACTGAGTTACATAAGTTTAGATAGACAGTTTGAAATTTCTTATTAACTTAAAACTGATGAAGTTGTTTCTAGTTTATGTAATTATTGCAGTCTTCGTCGTATACATTTTTATCCCCCAAAAAATATAATACATCATGATATTAAGTTTTACAGTGAACATAATATTATATTACCCAATATATCCATCCTATTAGGTTATTTAATAACTAGACGTCCAAGTCAACAATGAAAACAGTAATATGTATGTGATACAGAAAAAATATACAAATCATTACTTAATTTTAGTTTGTGACTGATTCATAAATTATAGTAAAATAATAAGACTTTAACCGAACCATGTAAGTAATGAAACCGGCAAACCAGGAAAAATAGATCAAATCGTTATATTTACCGGTAATTAATATTTCTTTATAAACAAATTTTATTTTGTAACTTTTCCGTAAATTAAACTAAAATATTATAACATTTATAAAGATTTCCCTAAATAAAAATTATAAATACTTTTGTAGCACATGTCTATAAACTTGTTGTCTATTGCATAACTTTTAAAAGATATTTAATTTAACTAGAACAAAAAATAAAAATCACGGGTCTATTCAATAAAAAAGTTGGTGTGAAAAATGACATTTCTCAATGTCATTTTTGAGACACACGTCTCTGTAATGTTTGAACGTGGAAGGTAATTACAAAAATCAAGAAAATGTCAACATTCTCAAGCAAAAACCAAGAAATAAATATATATTTTTTAAAATCAATAGAAAATATAAAAAATCAAACGGAATAATCGAGGCATCTCCGCATATCTTTTCTGCATAAATCTTTCTTTTATATATTTCCTTCCATAAAAACTAGGGCACCATTGCATTGCGTCGACACCCCATGTTCATGGTCCACATTTGAAGCATTTATTGCTTCAATTTTTTTTTTAATCCGAATTCATTTTGGCGGTTGATAGATTTTTTTATTCATTTCCGATTTCCTTGAATTCATAATCAAATTTCCTTGTTCAATCCGTCTGAAAATATTCTCTGCTCATTACCCCACCAACAAAATCTCCAAACAACAAAATTACACTTGATCTTGACTCGACCAGCTGATTTTTATACCAAAATCACAAACATTCATGTTCTATTGAAGATTTCTCCATCTGGGTTTTTTCCAATTGCAGGTAATTTCGATTAATTACCCGATTTAGCATCTCTGCGTGTACGTATACGTAACTATCTTCTTCTCAATTAAAGCCTTTCTATCTTGATTCTTCCCTTTGAACATTCAATAAAAAGTTGCTGTAATTCGAATTTGAGGCAGCGAGTTACGTTAATCAATTTGGATGTGTTTATACTAATTCATAACGATTGATGGTTTGATAGAAAATGGGCAAAAGGGGTGGCGCTGAATCGAGTGACAACAATCAAAGGATTGATGTATCAATAACGAAAGAACAAGGAAAGGGGAAGAAATTATGGAAGAAGATGAAGTATCAGCTTGTTGAATACCACTCGTTGCCTGCGTATATGAAAGATAATGAATTCATTTTAGGCCATTATCGTGCTGAATGGCCTCTCAAGCAGATTTTCATGAGCATCTTCACCCTTCACAACGAAACCCTTAATGTTTGGACGTAAGAATATTCAATACCCTTTCTTCAATTTCAATTCCTCTAAACAATCTTTTGATAAATTTCAATTATTTATATGCTGTTGTTGTTGCAGACACTTAATTGGGTTCTTCCTTTTCCTAACCCTAACAATTTATAGTGCGAAAATGATCCCAAATGTAGTCGATATCCCAACCCTAAAACATTTCCCAGATGTATTGCGAAGAACCGATCTTTATAAACTTCGTGAAGACCTTTTAACTTGTATTCCTTCAATGCCTAATATGCCCGATTTACAGAAACTCCGAGATGAAATCAAGACTTCATTTCATGCATCATCGGACCTCCTGCCATTAATGTCAAATTGGCATATTGTCGAACTTCTTACAAATTGTTTGCCTGAGCGATTCTCACATAGCAATCACACCGATATATGTGTTCTTGTAAGTCTATCTTATCTTATCTTTCTTTTTGTCTCAATTTCGCTTTACAAATGCTCGTTATGTGATAAGCAAAGTTGGTATTAGAGTCTTGAATAGTCGGAATATGGGATTCCGATGTGGATTTCAATTCCAATTCCGATGTGAATTGGATTCCGTATCCTTTTTTTTTTTTTTTTGGCAACAATTTGGGTGCGAAGTTGCTCTAATCTAATACCATTTCATATATACCAAAATGGTGTTTTGGTGAATAGTATAACGATAAAATTACATTAACTAAGAATTATATAAACTCAAATTTGAAACAATTAAAATAAACTAGATATTTATAAAACTCGAACTTGAAGGACCACAAATGTCACATGAAACTTTCACACCAAATTTGGTGTAGAAAATGATGTTGGGTTGGAGATGATGTTGTCCTATTCATTTACACCAAATTTGGTGTTAAAGTTTCCTTTGCATAAATTGGTATTTTGAGCTTTAAATTTTATGTATTATTATTTTATTATTTGTATAATGATTGTTACTTGATATTAGTTTAAGATATGTATTAAAATTAATTTGTATGTTTCAAATTTACTTGAAAACTTTAACACTTCAAAATAATCTAAAACACAATACATATCTAAATACAACACATAAGTGACATATATTACAACATTGGTAATCTAATAAAAGCTAACAATCAACATATATATTACAATAAGCCGAAATGAATCACTATTTTCACCAACTATTATACCATTTTAATGCATTAAATGGTGCAATCACGAGAGTTTCAATTCCAATGTGAGTTGTTCTTCTGTACATTTGAGATATATACAGTGTGAGCCAGTTCAGGGAACGTTGAAAGAATAACTGTGTTAAAAAAACAGTTATATCATAATAACAAAAATATTTTCTTGAATCTTTCCCCATTTTTTTTTTGTAGCAAAGCATGAAAGAAGATGTAGCAAACATAATCGCGCCATTAATAACACGACCAATCACAAAATGGCCATTCTTCGCATTCTTAGGCGGAGCAATGTTTTGCCTCCTATCAAGCAGTCTCTGCCACCTCCTCTGCTGCCACTCAAAACGTCTCTCCTACATCATGCTCCGCCTCGACTACGCCGGCATCGCCGCCCTAATCTCCACCTCATTCTACCCGCCCGTCTACTACGCGTTCATGTGCCACCCTTTCTTCTGCAATCTCTACCTAGGGTTCATAACCCTTTTAGGAATCGCAACAATCATGGTCTCACTCCTACCCGTATTTGATCGACCCGAGTATCGAAACATCCGTACGGGTCTTTTTCTTGGAATGGGGTTGTCGGGTGCGGGCCCCATTTTTCATAAACTTGTGTGGTTTTGGAATCAACCAGAAGCGGTGTATACGACTGGATATGAGATCTTGATGGGGACTTTTTATGGGATTGGGAGTTTGCTTTATGCAACGAGGATACCCGAGAGGTGGATGCCCGGGAAGTTTGATATTGTGGGGAATAGTCATAATTTGTTTCATGTGTTGGTGGTGGCCGGAGCTTATACGCATTATAGGGCGGGGTTGGTGTATTTGAGGTGGAGGGATATGGAAGGGTGTTGATGGGGAATAAGTATGTGTGGTTGTGATATTGTTGTATAGTTTAGGAAGATGTGGAGGTTTTATAAAAAATATTCATCATGATGATGAGTATGTGATGTTGTTGCATATATGATATATCCATCCATGAATATGTGGTGATATTACATATGTGATGTATCCGATCCATTTGTAGTTGGAACTTTCTTATATCACAAAGACCGTATTTCCTACTTTGGGCTTTATTAATGATAACAAACTTTGTTATGCAATATGTACTTATGCTAGTGAAAGTAGTTCCTAATATTTGGTTTGAATGATACTTTTGAACGTTTGTTATGCACTTATGGTAGTGAAAATAGTTCCTAATATTTGGTTTGAAGAATACTTTTGAAAGGAATGAAATCTAAATCCAAATCCGAATGAATTAGATTTTATAGGAATTAAAATCAGTTATATGTTTGATTCACATGAAACAATTTTTATAGGAATTAAAATCGGTTATATGTTTGGTCAACATGAAACGGAATGAAATTCTTTCTCGTTATTTGTTTGGTTTACAAACACGTCTAAAGTCTAAACAATTTTTGGGCACAAGGAAAACTATCACCAAATTTTTATATTTTTGGGTCTAATATATATAAAATTAAAATAAAAAGGTTATATTTCTAATAAAAAAAATTAGCAGGGCCACAACCCCCCTCCTATAAAGCTCCGCCCTTGGAAATATACTCATATTATGACACCATAATCTTGTGTAAATTTAGAATATATATATATATATATATATATATATATATATATATATATATATATATATATATATATATATATATATACACACACACACGTTAATCAGTGGACTGGGATCAAGGGATTAATCAGTTAGGCGATGATTAATCGGGAACCATTAATTATTAAAAATATTATTAAAAAAATAATAAATAAAACATTAATCCTAAGAATATTACATTAAATATAACATTAATAGATATAACATTATAAATTAAAAAACTTATTAAAATTTTAATAAGTATAACATTAAATTTCTCTTAAGCATTTATACAAATACTTGGCATACTTGTTATTATCAACCATATCATTGAAATTTCTCTTAGGCATTGTATGACCAAAATCAATGAAATTGTGACTACTAGGGATCAAACAACCATTTACACAAACATAGTATCAATTTAAAGCCGCCTTCAATCGAGTTTATGGGATTCTCTAAAATCTGTTTTACTAGCAAATCGAGTTTGTGGGTTTGCCTTCAATCCAGTGATCAATTTTACCAAGAACAAGAACAATAATCAGATAATCAAACGAATCAACAATTTGAGTCGAAAGTGATTCCATCCATAAACAAGCAAAATGAATCAGATTAATCAAATGAATAAGCAATTTGATCCCACTATAACAATTACAGATCTTGCAACTGCCAAATAGAATATCGATTTCAAAAAAAGGAAGCAGGAACGAACGAGTGATGGTGATAGGGTATACGAAGATGGTTGATGGGTGTGATAACTTGTGATGAGAACGAACCAGTGCTCTACCTCTGATGCCATGTAATCCTCATGTATATGGTCTTTGTAATTGCAAATATGTTTCTTCTGCTAAGGAAAAGAGAGGTATGCCAGGGAATTGCCGATCGCAAAGGCTCTTTAGAACGAGTGTTTGTGTTCACCACGATTATCTGTTTTCAATCCATGGTTCGTGATTGTTTCCAAATGTGTATGTCTTCGAGTATTACCTGATCGAGTTGTCTTTGGGTATCACCTGATCGGAGTCGAAATTGAAGAAAAAGGAAACTGTGCTTTTTCAATTGAGTATCCCACATTGTTGGTGGGATAAAATATCAACCGAAAACAATTCTATAAAAAGGGTAGAAGGCTTCTTGAAATCCATATCCAACTCTCCTTTGGGCCAGCTGTCTCCTTTGAGCCGGTGGGTCCTTTGAGTCCCATTTTGGGTCCGATTTTGGATCCGATTTGGGTTCGATTTGGATTGGTTTTGACAGATATTGATCTAGGCCGATTATTTTACCCTCTAACCCTTATTCCTAAGCAGTTGGAGGCCACCAAACACCTAGACGCTGATTAATCGACCGTCTAGACCGATTTTTATAACCATGATATATATATATATATATATATATATATATATATATATATATATATATATATATATATATATAGGCCATGTGGTGCACCGTGCAACGTGCATTATGTTGGGATGGCCGCATGGTTAACGGACAAACATTGCCGCTCCTTCGTTAAGCATGCATGATGTTAATGCATGTTACCGAGTTAACATGCTATTACAGGAAAAATTTGACCATTGGTTTTTGTAATTTAATTATTTATTTTACAAATTCACTTATATAAATTATAAATACCAACCTAATTTCATATTTTATGCACACCAACTTCGAACAAACACTTCTCTTCCTCAATATTTTTATAAGAATTCCCAAAAAAAAATGGAGCAACCCCCCAATACATGACCATCCAACCAAAACCCCAAAACACCAACATACGAAAACCCTTTCCGTCTAAAACTTTATCTATGAGGTTTCCTTAATACGATCAATATTTTATGAATTCTACCAATTGTACATTCTCAAGCTTACTCCAAGGCTCTTCACAACCACCATCTCAACAAAATTTTTAACAAAACCCTCATATCCGCACCCTTCTTTCCAACAACCATTGTTTCAACAATCATCTTTTGAAGATCCACAATTAGATCATCAACAATTTCAACAAAAACTATCTCGACCACCGCGATCGCAACGATCCTGCCAACCGCCAATTAATCAACCCAAACGCGATCAACCTCGACGACGATATCGATGAACCACTTCAATGTCCGATGGGTCGGGATAAAGCGAAGCAAGCTGCATCTTCTTCAAAGAATAAAGAAAAGGAAACCACATCAAACGACTGAGTATTTACGGGAGCAATTTGATGAACATATTGCACTACAAAAATAGAAGTTGACTTTGAGAAGCGAACAACAAACATTACTTGGGGAACAACATGTGGTAAACGATATGCAAGTTTTGAAAATGTCGACCGGTGGCCTCGAAGGCGAAGACCTTGACACAATACTTGTGGTAAAAGGTTAATACGGGATAAATATAAAAAAATAATAACTAATTAGTTAGACTTAATTTATCTAATATCTTTTATTTTTATTTATGTAATTTTCTATTTTAATTTATGTAATATGTTTTTTTTATTTTTGATGATGATGGCTTGTAAGATCTTTAAAGGTTTTAGGTCATTTTTGGTCATTTAACTTTTGGTTTTGTGCTCATTTGATCACTTAACATTTTTTAAGTTTTAAAAGGTCATCAAACTTTTTGCTTTGTTCTCATTTAGTCACTTAACTTTTGATTTTGTCACCTAAGTTTTGGATTTGTGCTCATTTAGTCACCTAACTTTTAAAATTGTGCTCATTTAGTCACTAAAGTTTTAATTTTTTTTTAAAAGTTTAGTAACTAAATGAGAATAATTTAAAAGTTAGGTCAGTGAATGAGCACAATTCCAAAAGTTAAGTGACCAAACAAAAAGTTAAGTGACTAATTGAGCACAAAGCCAAAAGTTTGATGACCTTTTAAAACTTTAAAAAAAAATTAACGACCAAATGAATACAAACCAAAAATTAAGTGAATAAAAATGACCTAAACCCATCTTTAAAATCATAAGATCTTAAGATCAATATTAGAATCTAAACAACCATCTTAACAACCCATGAGTTAAAAGACATTACTTTATGAAATACTCATCCTATTAATTTGATGATTATTATCAATTTTTTAAATGAATGAAATGTTTGTATCTTAATTAACTTTTTTAAATATTTAGATTATTTATTTTATAGAAATAAATAGCGAGGTGGAAATTATTTTGTTTTTATGGATTGGTAGACATTTCATAAGGTAAGTGGTGGGAAAATGATACTAATGTGATGTTAGTGTGATGTAGAGGTGATAATATTTTTTGTGTTATGGCATTAGAGGTATATCACATAGCTTTATAGTAATATCAATATTGTCAAAATCAAGATCTTACCTAAGATCATTTAACATTTTACAAGATCGCTATTGTAATATCGAATCGGGATCGAAAGATCATACCAAATAAACTAGCTAGTCTTATGATTTTTTATTACAATTTTTTGTTTTTGTAGTATCATTCATTATAACTTAATATTGATTAAGACACTAACGGTGGAATCAATTTTAATTTCTTAAACATGAATAACATTTTTGCTGCCGAAAACCCCAAAAATTAAGAAAAAACATCTTAAGCAAAAAATAAAACAAGATTTTTTGTGCTTATGTAAAATTAAAGGAATGAGATCATAAAAAGAATAACATAAATGTTATGATGTTTGACGTGTTCGGATCATAATATGATCTTAAGATCCCTATCGGGATCCTATGATCCCAATATATATTTTACTTCAAATCGATCTTACTATGATGATGATCGATTTTTGCTTGTAAAATCTTTAAAATTTTAAGATCTTAAGATCATGAGTTAGAAATATATTACTTTATGAAATACTCAGAGCTATTAATTTGATGCTTATTTTGATCAAAATGATTTTTTTTAAAAAAATTTTATATACTTATTACTTTTTTTACTTTATTATCATGACTATTAAATAGGGGTGGACCTTTATATCAAGCTGGACTAGCTCTTGGATCGGACCGGTTTGATAGAAGTTGGTGGACTTTGGACCGGACTTGTTGGGGTACTAGGTCCAGGTTTTTCAATTCTTTTACCTATTGGACTTTTACAACTTTAGATGCATATAGTACAACTTGTTGAAGCCCTACCAAAAGTTAGTTTATCTATTACAGCCGGGTAGGGACGAACATTTATACCGGACTGAACCGTTTTGACAACAATTGGTGGAACTTTGACTAGAGAGGCTCACATGCCCATATCTGGTTCTGCTGTTCGGTCTAAAGGTCCAAATGTTCATCCTTACTATGAAATACAAACCGAACAATTTGTTACATGTAGATTTCCAACGATTCGTGAAGGTTTTTTCAACATCATGTGATATGTGGGCAAATGATAACTAAAAGGCTAAAACTATAATTCTTTTTATTGATGATATAATGCCTAGTTTTTTCACACTCCTATAGTTTGTCTCCTAAACCGTTATGCCATAAATTAAAAGTAGAACATCCAATACTAAAGCTTAAGATAAAGTTGCAATCAAATGAACAAAACAGAACTAGTAATTTTTTAAGTATTCACCTAAATATGTCATCACATACATATCCTTCACCTCAAAGAACACCACACATTTTAAATGTTTCAATTGAGTCCATGAAACTCTTTAATCTACAT